ACCCTGAGTTTGTTAGTAGTTTGTAAATTCCGCTGAGTAGGCCAGTCGCTACACAAAAAGATCGGCGACGCTGAAGTATTTAAACGTGCTTTAAGAATTTGAGGTAAATATTAACCTAGGTAAATATACTAACCTAATTTTAAAAATGTTGTTACTGTATTTTTATTTTTTTATGTTATGCCTATAATTAAAAAATGTCCTACTACAAAGATGTATTACTTTTTCAAAGCATCAACGTTTTTTTATATCTGCTATCTATATTTGGATAGCTCTTGTGCGTAATATAAGTTCTAACACTGCGCATAAAAAAAACTAACGCTACAATTGGCAAGGATTGAAACAACCATTCATCATGTACCTGACAAAAGAACAATTTAGCCCTCGTGACAAGCTTTTGTATTGAAACATTCGAGTCAGCAGAAAAATTAAACTCTTCGAATTTGTGTTCCTGCCAATCTAACAAAAACAATACTCAATTTAGTGTGCTGCAATTTTCGTTTTGAAATTGGAAAATGTTAAAGCATTGTTTTCGGAGAATACATTTTACTTTCTCCCCCTATACATATATTTGGCCTATTTGGAGAAAGTATCATTTTTGTTAAAAATGTCGTCATTACGCTTTGGGTAGAAATATACGCTTTTAGTTACCTTTTAGTTGATACAAGAAAACCTTGATTAATTGATTTCATACCAATTTATCTAGGTAATATTTAGTTTTAAATCAATTTAACTATCCACCAATCTATTTAGCTAATCCATCAATATTATTTGAAGTCATAGTAGGTAAATATATCATAACTGACACAATAATCAGAAAATATTTTGTAATAATCAAAATGGTGAAGTACACTCTGCTGCAACCAAACAATGTCTTTATTGTTAGGTCTGCTCAGCCCACTATAAAACCAAAGTAGTCTCGCAATTGCCAATTACTGAATGTAGAAACTCAGGTCTTTTCGTTAAGAAAATTATATTATTTGCGTCATTTGTTCAAAAATGCAAAAGGGTACATCAAATCTACTGGTTTATTTCATTGAACAATGTCATGCATTAGGTGTTTGATAACTATAGACATTTTAGTTATTGAACCATTGCTAACGAATCTATGCTTATTTACAGGACCATTATAAACTTGTTTAAGATCACTGCTAGCTTTTTCAGAACCCAAGAAATTTTTTATGGATTTAAAATTGTTATTTTAATATATAAATAACATGTTGATATATTGGTGTCCTAAAGAACAAATGCTTTTGTTATTAATTCTATTCGAAATGAAGACAGTTTAATCTTCCTAATGTTTGTGGATAGGCTACAAGTGTAAGCTACTAGGCTAGTAACACTTCGTGTATTTAAGATTTTAAGTGTGCGTGTTTTCTCCTTACTGTTACATTGCATTGGTGTTATCAGATAGCAAAAGTAGCAACAAATGTACACACTTATCTAAATGGCACTTCTGTATTTAATCGTACTAAACAATCTTTTCGTATATTATCATTTTCAAGGAAAATTAAGAATCATAAAAATAAAATAAACCATATTAAAACTAAAAGCCTTAGCCTACTCTTACTGACAACTCTGCAATATATTTGATAAATAATTTCTCACATTTTCCTTTTTATTTTCTGTATTTTCTTTTAAATCATAATTAAATGAAATGATAATTTTCTTAACGTAACACTTAAGTTTAACCGACTTTATCAAACAGAATGGTCTTTCGATGGTCTTCGCTATTTACAATCCTATACAAATCTTTAAAATTCAGTTGTTTGCGTATAAACAACACAGTTTCCAATTGATATTCCTTGAAACAACCAGTTTTTTTCTTCTTTTTTGTTCTAAAGTAAATAAAACACTTAAACATGCATGACCTTGTAAGAGGAAGTGTACTGTTAACGTTTGCTGGAGGGAGCCGTTTAAACAAGTGTATGGTGACATTATCAATCACCATAAGAATAAGAAGAACCAATTAAATTTACTATAAGTTTAATGTTAACCGGAGAGAAATGAGTATAAAAAATTAAATTGGGAAATATAACTATTGGAGCAAAAACCATCGTATAGGTACTTTTTATCAATTAAAATCCATAGTAGGATTATTTTTGGACGAATCAACATATTTGTATTTTACAGGCAAAATCTAGAACTTGAACCGAACTTTGTAATAGCTGATCTTTCTTTCAAAAGAATAATCTTCACAATTTAAGGTATTTAAAACTAATTGAAATATAGGGTGATTCATCGAAATATAATAACAGCTTGGTTTATATATCAGTGACGTGATTCAGACAAAAACTAATTGATTTCCACAAATCAAATGTAGAACCTTGGACCTCTTACTTTTATAATTCTGTAACTAGCACCAAAAATGATGAATAATTATGAATATCAAGATAGCTATTGTATGAAGTATTTGAAAATTGCTACATCATTTAATTTTTAGGTCAAATATAGTTAACAAATAATATTAGCAGTACATAAAAAGGTGGACACATAGAATATACAAGTAGCCTACCATGCGGTAGTAGGGCCTCTTACATAATCGATTTTGGGACAGTTGCCTAAGCTCTAAGTCAACTAAAAACCAAGTTGGATTTCTAAGCGCAAAACTTGCTAACTTTGTCTCTGGAGATTGTTTGACTGTGAGCAACTAAGTTAATTTGACTGCGTTTATAAGCTCAATCCAATGATTCATTATGTTTACATTCTTGTACCACACATTTATAATTAATAATTAGAATGAAGTTTTTCGGTTTCTACTTTTAATTGAAACCGTCCACATTTTGAATATTTTGTATAGTAATTAAAAAACAAAATCATATTTTCCAATAATAATTAAATCTATGTTTTAACAAAATTAATGAAAAATTATAAATTAAAAAATCATAAATTGAAATATGAAACAAAACAATTCTGTAAAATGTAGATAACCGTCACCGAAACGTTAAGTTAATATTGGAATCCTAATCGAAGGAAAACATTTTATATGGTAGATACGACAAATTGATGTAACCGCCTTTAATATATTCTGTGAATTTATGGCCAATTACTTCAACTTTACTTTGTTATTCAGTTATAATATTTAAAAGGCTTGGCGGATCAACATAACAATACATTTAATTAAAGTGGCTTAAAGTAAATTCTACTTGTAATGAGAACAGAAAAGAAACCGCATTTACATTTCAGCCAATAATTTAATAAGCTAAATCTTCCGACGTCGCGTCGTTCCGTTCATCTGATTTGCAGAAAGCAGAAATGATTGAGTTTATTGAATTATTCCTCTCCCCCAAAGGAATATTAATTATTTGCATTTTCAAGAATAAATTACTCTTTTCCAGTCCAATACTTCTGTACCTAAAAGAAAATCCTCTAATAGTATTTTTATAACTGTGTTGTAACAAAAGTTTTTTTTTAAATACACTTTAATAAAGAACTACACAGTTTGATGTGTTTGCAAAAAATGAATTGTTGTTTTTTCAACCTTTATTCATAACATAAACATACCAATAATATAAATATAAAAATACAAAAAAAATTCTATTAAGTTTAAGTACAGTCTTGGAAAATCTTGGTTTTAAAACAAATTATTACGTTAACGGGGTAGTGAGCGGGGGGGGGGGGGGTTATTCGGTATTATTAGTTTTCCGAAAGTAATGTATTAAATTGATTTATACATAGTTGTACAAATAGTTAGTTAAAAATAGTTAGGGAAACAATGTATGCCTTGTATTTAATTAGGTTCAAAATATTATTTTTCTTTCACTGTAATTTACTGCCCTTTCATTTTTTACAAATTTATTAATCTTATTAACATTTAACTTTGTAATTTAATTAAGCCTCTTCGATTCAACTCTTTGTAATGTATTATTTATTTTCATTGTGACTCAATGGTTTCACTGAAAACCTTTTTAAAATTTGCTTTTCTAAAAGCAGTGATTGTATGCGATACAACAGTATTCGAGGAAATATTTATTGATTTTCTTTCTTGGACAAAGGTGCCCTTGCTAATGATAATTTAATCAGTGATTAATGGATTTTTTCTCAGTTGATTTGCCATAGCCTGTTATGAAATATTCCTAAAGTTATAAATTTAAAGAACATCAATAGATAATGCACTTATATAGGCCTATATTATATATCCTTACATATTATATATTCTTATATATTTACTTATTTGGATTATGAAAACTAAAGTAGGGAACCTAAATTGTCCTTCTTAAAAAAAAAAATATTTTATGTGCTTATCTTCTTCAGTAGAAAAATTGTAAACTTTGTATGTTAGTTATCAGAAGTAATCATCGTATTGTTGTAATAGAGCAGATAGTTTCAGATCCTTTTTATAAATCCAAAAGAATATAGTTTGATCAAGTTAATCCTTATTTTATCTATATATATAAATTTATATAAATATATGAATGTTTTTCTTTCGGCCCGTAGTTAAGATCGAGAATCAGACTGTATATTCCACACTGTATGTCACACTGAAAACAGTAGGTTTTTACCTTAAGGTGAATTGGACAAACTTGTGATGAACCATAATATATTCTGTGGGTAATCCTCTTACGAAGAAATATAACATTGGTAAATATTATGTAACTCTACAGCGGCATAAAAGGGTTAAACTTACTGAAATAATTTAAAATATTTAGCAATTTATTCTCCATTTTACTACTCTCTATTTCAAAGATAAACTGCGTACGTTATTGTGACGTGGGTGTTGAATTATTGCTGAAACTTTAGCTAAGTTTCCCACAAGACTTGAGAACTTTGCTAATGAATACAGAGCTTCTCATGATGGCAAGCAAAAGTGGAATGAAAACTATGCCACTGTTAATAGCCCTAGAATCAACATAGGCATGGACCAACCTAGTTCCGTTGAATATAAAGTAATTTTGTAGTTATTACTTGTAGCTAGAAAATACAATTCCAGTCAGGGTTAACATAAAACCCATTATGTTGAAAAATATTAAGTTGGAAGCTAAAAAACATAGAAAACAACGACATCGTACAACAAACACAAAGTTTATTCTCTCTACTTTGTTTACAATATTTGGTTTGACCACCAAGCGATAACATGGCGGGATATGTACATTGGGATATGTGTTGTATTTATACATCATATCTAAAGTACTATGTACATATGTACATCACTTATCCATAGTTTTAAACATGTTTTCATTTGACTACAAAATTGTATAGGATTGCTTACAAACCGAAAAGAACTATATACAAGATTTTAAAATATGGTCTAAAATGAATAATGTTCACAGATTAGGAGGTGGAATATAACAAATTCTTTAGTGAAATAAACTAATATCATAAACTTAATTTAGATATTTTTAAATTGTAAAGTATAAAGTACAACTTTGAATAACACGTTTGAGTACCCAGCCTATGTTAATAGATAATTAAAGATACACCCTAAATTGTTAACAGCTCAACAACACCTATAAAATATATATTGTACTATCAATATACCTAATAGTTACTTTAACCTTGAAGGTAGAAAACATACCTTACAGTGTCAATCTTAAGTAGTAATTAAAGCTATAGACTGCGTCATGTTGCTCGGTATGGGCTATGATATGTGTGTTTTGAGTTAGAGTTAAGCAACAGTTAGGTAAAAGCGTCACACCAACACGTAGCAGTTTAACTATAAAAATCAAAATAACATACTTAATATACTGTATGTAAAACTTGTGTTGTTAACAAAGAATACACTTCTTATGATACACAAATATTAAACCACTTTAATATACAAGGTTTTTAGAAGCGTTTGAGTTTAAAGTTCAAGCTAACAGATAAAAAATGATTACACAAAACATTTGTTTCGTTTCTTTGGCCAATTTGCTTATCGCATTTTTCAATATAGTATTATCAGAATCTGATCTAATTGAAGTTTAGCTTGTTACGAAAACTTAATGCAGTTCAGACTTAAAATAAACATAATTTTATAACGATTTAGAAATACTTTAAAATTCATAAGCATTCTTTCATTACAGTGAAAATGTATGCGTTTTAGAACCAAACCATGTTAAAATGTAGAATATTTTAACCAACAGTAAAACCATATTTTTTCAGAATTCTTATTTATAGTTTTAAATACGCTGTGTATTCAGTCTGCTTTAATGCTTCTGGAAAGTTTAAGATATTCAGGGAATTTATTCTATTTTTAAACACGTATACTCTAACATCGTCGTTTTACTTAGCTAAGAAGCGTTTTGGATTATCGTGATACATTGAGGGTGGTTTAGGTAACGTTTGCTGGTTTGCCCCATCTCTCGAAGCGCATGAACTCTTCGTCACCCAGACCTTGCAGCAAACCTCAGTGGGGCTTCCAACTGTTTGCTGGAAAATACAGTTAACTGTTATAAGCTATAATACGTTAAAAATGTGTAGCTATTCCTGAAACCAAGAGTAATTTTAGCATAACTATTATACCCAGAACTAATAGAGCGTAACTAACCCAACCAAAAATAGCCCAACGCTAAGTTATCAAACGTTTTGGATTTTGTAAAAATGTTTGGTTTAAAAGATCTTTGGCATTTTTACCCACAAAATAGGCTAGCTAGGCCAATTTGGCAGGTGATTAAGTTGGCCAATTAAATAGCTACATATATATTTTTGAATGTTTAATAGGTGTTGAAAACGAATACTTGATAAATATTCAATACTCTACTATACGTTCTAGTTTGGTTATAAGTAGGCTATTCTTAATACTACTAATTTATAATGTTGTCCTCACCTTTGTAATACACCTCCTTGTACATGCTTGGGCAGTATTTGGCTCCAGTCTACAACAATACAATTGTATTAATGTCCTCAACCTTTTTACATAGATATTTTAATTTTAAATCCAATTTAAATGCATACTCTACGATGCCAAATTGAATCTTTATCAAATTTCGTTACTAAACAAATAATGTGATGAAAGAAATAAGATTTTCTGAGACAAAGATTGTGTTTATGAAATAAAAACAATACATAATCACTACTTTATAGGTCATATTAGGATTGTTAGGTTATACTAGGATAGACAGGTCGATAAACTATTAAACATTTATCAGAATGTTCTGTGGGATAATAGCTCTTTAGTCTTTAGACTATAATTTGTTTGTCATTTAAATTTTTATTCCGCACACATGACCGGTTACTAATAGTGAAAGGTGGCATCGAATTAATCTGCATTTATATCAAAACTAAAACATATTTCCTGACCTAGTGTTTACGTAAATAGTGTATTATATTAACATGAATTTCTTTGTTATTTAACTTTTCAACATCTCCATAAAGAACATTTGCTCCAACCTGATTCACCTGTTTCACGTTAAAGTCGATGTTGGTCCGCAGGGGGCGGTGGTGTAATGGCTGCGGGGGTCGGTAGTTGTTACCCAGAGGCGCTTTTGGATACTTTCCATCTCCCTGCATGAGTCTCCGTAGCCCAAAGAGCTGCGAAAGATAAACCACGTGCATATTTTATTCACGTTTCATACTTTACTAAGGATTTTTTTTTAATATACCAGTATAACATTAATACTTGTTAATACTACTGGTGTGACAAACAAACATAACCTTAATTAAATTATTCGTTACCTTGTTTGATATCCTTTGTTCTTGTAGGATTTTGGAAGTTTCCTCCAACATTAAATTATATTGGAGCAAACTAATTCCTGCAAGAACAAAGGCTATCAAACAGGGTACCGAATAATTTAACTTTTTAGTTCTTGCCACTGTGAAAATAAATAAAATAACATAGCTTTAATGTTGTAAATTTATCAAGAGTAACAGGGAAGCTTATTACAAATTACCTGTTCATCATGAATATCTGTTATCGAGTAAAAAGTAGGTTTACACCCAAGTTTTGTTATTGCAATGGACAAACCCCACAGACGGATGGTTAATATATTTGCCTATCGTGTTTTAGCTAACCAAATCCAATTCATAAAATTACTGTTTTATGTAGTTTAAAAATAAAACGAAATACCGAAGAGACTTAGTTAATCTTAAAAATAGCTATCACACTGTTAGAGACTATGTAGTATGATTGAGGATGGAAAGCAAACATATACTCGTAACTACAAGGGCTGTCCGTAATCAAGCTGTCAGTACAAATCTGAGAAAAGTAGTGTTCTTTACTTCATAAATACTATTCCACCCAGATTCAGTTCCTATGGAAAAATTTGTCTCGAAATAGTATTTGAAATGTAATTAAAGAAAGTTGAAGTTCCTGCCAAGTCTGAATCGCGGTTTCTTAAAACTGTTACAGTTATTTGATTCCTTTTGCCAGTTAGCAAATGCATGTGCAGAGAAGTTTTTCAAAATGTGCGTTAAAGGCTAAAGGAGTTCATAAAATGCCGCAAACATTCACACAACAGGCTGTGTGTTCCCATCAAAATAGACAGTTAGCATAAGAAAGGTTTCTTGCTGATTATTACTACTACTCTGGCATTCCTTAAGAATGCCAGAGTAGACCATAGCCATTGATAATCTTGTAAAGGCACTATCAGTTCAACAATTTTGTTTAGTCACAACACTATCCACATACGAAATTCCATTAGCATGAACTGATATAAACAAAAACTGATAAGGAAACCCAGTTTTAAATACCATGAAAAATATCGTTCAAATGTTTAAGGCCACTGCCGAACTCTCTCAACCAGTTTTGCACATTTTTTACAACCAAACTGACAATAGAATTTAAAAGTGGTTGGTGACTGAAACCCCGAAAATCACATAACGCGATTTATTTATGAATAGAGCATAAATTGTTCACGTCGTTTTCGAATGCTATGATAAGACTAATCGTCCTATGGTGGGAGGGGGGGTCTGTCCAGAATAGTAGTGGATGAATTAAGAAATGCAATATTGGTCTTGGATTTAAACTAGCCTGCTCGGCTCTGGGGGGGAGCTTGATGGAGCCATTATTTTGCGGAAAATCCTTTAAATTAAAACCACTCCTAATCAATCTTTGCAATTGTTGTTACAATATGACATCCAGTTTAAATATCGAAAGAATAGACTTTGGCTAATAATTTTGTATTGACTTGAAGATTACAAACCTGCTGCTTGGTGATGTAGATGGGCTTGTTCAGTATGACCCAGGTGACAGTCTCATGACAGGCAGGCATTGTAGTGGACCCATCATAGGTCATGTAGTACTCCGTATCTGGGAGGAGACCCATGATGGACAACCGCTTCACTTCCACTTCATCACCTGATACAATAAAGATATGAGAATCAATAACAGCTTAGAGCATTATTGTACAACTTTTTAACCCATTTTATTTGATTTATACGATGCCGAGACACTAGGATTAGTTTATTAAAGTGAAGATTTACGGGTTAAAACTAATGAAATTATCAATTTGTTACTGGTAGCTAGGGAGTATTTTCATCTGTAGCCAACAATCAAAGTCAGTTGAGTTTACGTTTGAACTATTCTAAAATCTTCAGGCATATTGAGATCAATGTGGTAACCTATATATTGAAACATATTAATGTAAAAAAATACCTTCGATTACATTATAAAATAATATATCAGGTGTTTTGAAATTGAGGATCTTTATTAAAACAGTAGTTTTTAGATTCAATTTATTGCTTGTGGTGAGAAATGTCTTAGTTAATGTTTAGTTATCAGAAGAATATATGCCTTTACTTGCTAACTATATTGACTGTCCAAGACAATTAAACATTGTGACAGAGAACATGATTGATGTATGAAAATTCATGGATATTTACATATAGTGGGAGTTACTCTCACCAAAGTATCTTTTTCATGATACTGGCAGAAGTGCCTCAGAATTTAAAAAAATGGCTGTGTATAAAGCAAATATAAAAATTTCTTGTGTATCTATATACCTGTGACAGCTATTTACGAATTCTTTAAGTTAGGAGGAACAGTTTGGTACATAGAAATTTTAAATAAATTTTATAGATTTAAGAAGTAACGTGTGGGATAAAGATGTGTGATTTCGGGAATTTTTAATTTTTTAAATTAAGTTCATGCATATTATTTAAAGCCTTTTATATGGAGTATATAATAATTTCATTTATAAACTAGTCTAAATCTAAGAAAATACTTACAGTATTATTATATAAAAAATAAATAATGCATTTACATTTTTAAATTTAACAGTTAAATATGTAATGTACGGCTGTTTTATAAACGTTTTTACGATTTAATGTTCTCTTATAAAAGCAAAACCTTTACCTCCATATCTGATCTTGTCTAGCTGATCTGTTAGTATCCTTAGTTCAGGATTAGAAAGATCACCGAGCTGAAACAATTGAAACCCTTTATTACATCAATGAAATTATATTAGGACATCCATGCTTTTCATGGGTTTCTTTCAATATCTTCATTGTACTGCTTTTTTATTGAAATTTTTTTGTTTTTCAAATTAGGATAGATAAATTAAGTTTTATTATCCGCTGTATGTGCTATCAACGCTTCCATGTAGCACACCCGTAATACTTATAAAGATGGAAGTGTCTAAATATATTTGACCAATTACAATTCATAGTTTTTTTTCGACACAGTTCTTCCAACTTGTCATGGCTTTTGTTCGTGTGATTTTATTTGCATTGACTTACCAATAGTTTATTTATTCTGTAAATTGTGTTCTATCCAAACTATTAACCAAGCACGAATTTATTTTCCAGTTAAAAGCATTTTAACTTTAAAAAGTTTCATTAGTTTTTAGTTATGTAGTAATCTATTTTGGTACCTGCATTAAAAGTGAGATCGCTACAATTCCTTGAGCTCTGTGAAGTGCCTCACTGAAGTTCGAGTATAGTTGGGAATTGAATCCAAATATTTGTATCTGAAACATCAATTGTTATAATGTGCATTGTACATTTTATAATACATACCCACAGTCACCACCAAAAATATACCACCATTGGTGTGCACCTAGGTGCATAAAAATTCAAGATTATTGTAGAATATTGTGACATTATTTGTGCATCCTTGTTACTAGCTATATGTTACTATACTAGCTTATCAGCAGTTTCGGTAGCCAGTTCGATACATTTAAAGTGTTCATATCAGTCAGCTTGGCCATGTTATGAACATTAATTATTTGCTCCAAACTTAACCACGAAAAAGTTACTGACGTTTTGCAGGATCAAATCTGTGTTGGGTGTCACTTTGCTATCAACCTATATTTATTTTTACACATGCAATCATGCATAATGTCCATAAATATTCCCTTATAGGTGCTTTTACATTTGATGTGCTTGAATGCGAATTTTTAAATTATATCTTAACTTTACTCGTGTGATGATTATGGATGTATACAATCCCTCGAATGCATGTATTTCCATCAGTTTTCCTTTATAACTCTATAAAGGTTCGCTAAGGAGCAGCCCTTTGTTCTGGCTGAGGCTCAAACGCATTTCACTTAACAACAATATTTTGGTGCCGTGCCAAGATCGTAATAAAGAGCTCAGCACGGATTGTGGGCATTGGTTCAACGCAGAGTGCTTAGGGTCCCATTATAGTAGACCCACTCAGGTGCCAAACACAGTTCGTTTGGAACTAAAGTGGTTTAATTGTTTTAGTATTTCCTGTAACCGTTCCAGTGGATATGTAGATAACCAAGTGTAATTTAAAGTAAAAATATATTGGGTTCGGTGGTTCAAGATCTGTTTTGTATAGCCAATAATTTTAATCCACCGATTGAACGTATAAGCTTCCTAAACTTTGGAAAGTGAATATTTTAAATACGTGTTAAGCAGTTGATAAAAATCTCGTTCCAACAAAATTTTATATTTGTAAACTATAATAACTTAAACACTTGTCAATAACTCATAAAATGAATATGAATATAAAAATAATTACGTCACTGCAAAAATTACTGTGCTGTTTACAAAATAGTTATAATCCAGATCTTTTTCAAAACTCTCAAACCTTAAAAATTAAAACATTACATTTTCTGGAATAAACTTAATTATCTTTATGTATTAATTGATCAACACCAATGAGCTTTATAAAACTACTGATTTTTGTTACGACCAACTTTGTAACTGCCAGTTACTACTTTGTTTGGACCTTCTTGACAGGGCGTCCTCCGACTTGGGCAAGCTCAAACTATGGTTTGACCACAACATACTATCCTTAAATGTGTCCAAGACCAAATGTCTGCCCATTTACTTTAGATGCGACAGTGGTCCGGGCCATAGAGTACTCAGGTTGCACGGCTGCGGGGGTCCATGGACAGCGCCGTGCCATTGTGAAATCATTGAGCAAGTCGAAAATTACAAATACCTTAGGGTCATAATTGACTACAAACTTAGCTGGGCTCCACATGTTGATTACGTCAACAACAGATTAAGAAAAATGATCTTCGCTTTTTCACAGCTTGGTTGTGTGCTGTCTGTGGACCATTGCAGGTGTGTATACTTTGCGTATGTCCAGTCACTGTTACAGTACGGGATACTTGCGTGGGGGGCTGCGTCTGCCTCTGTCTTGGCTCCTCTTGCTGTTACCCAGAAATCAATAATTAAACACATACTAAAAAAAGACCAAAGATACCCCACCTACCTACTTTTTCAAAATTTTCCAGTCCTTAACATCAGGAAACTATTCCTAAAAACAGTTATAACCTTTTCAAAAAATAATAAAAGCAAAATTTTCTCCGATTCGCTACATTCTTATGACACTAGATCTAGAACACACATAGGCATCTCCGTTCCCAAATTGAACAATAAAGCACAGCTTCTTACCCCTCACTATCTAGCCCACATTATACACACTAATCTCCCCATACAGATAAGAGAATGGGAGGGAGACAGTGTCACGGTTTTCAGCAGAAAGATCGGGCGCTGGCTTCTCGGTCTGAGCGATGATGCTGCCGAAGAGCTCATCAGATCCCAGTACAGGGCATAATGAAAGTCGATGACAATTCTAAAACTAAATTAGGCTAATAACACCAAACTACTTCAGTACTAGCACCCTCATTCAAGTACTTCAAATATTGTTCATGTTCAGTCTTTTTTTTGCCAACAATATGGCAAAAAAAATACTTCTTTTTATTTAAGTAATTATTTGTTTATTTTGTTATCTTGTCTGTGAAGTGGTGAGCGACGGAGAAGACTCTCCCCACACGCAGATGTACAGTCTTTGTGGGGATTTTTTTCCTTTGTACTTTGCTTTACAGCCACGATTGTAATTTTTGTAATTTGTAATTTTGGAAATAAATATATTCTTATTCTTATTCTTATTCTTTGACACTAACTCATTCAAAACGGTTTCTAAAAAAATTTATTTCATAATAAATGTACTGAACACGACCATGCCACCAAATATTCTAACAGAAAATAAAACGTTTTTAATAAAATTGCATATTTGTAAGAAGAACTTAACGATTCAAAATATAAGTATAGAACCCTCTTCTCCATACATTTATTGATGGAAAAAAACAGTACGGTTACATCCAAGCAAGAACCCCAATTTATTAACAGCTGACGCATGCGCCGATCTTTGTGACGTCACACTGCAGACGACACAGTGTTCAGTTGCCGCTAACTCGTCTAACAGAGAGGTACTGCTCATTCCCGCCAAGTACGCTACCATAGAGCAGTTAAACTAATAAAACTGTATAACTATTTTAAAAGAAAATGTTGTTCTTTTATAAAACCAATTATGATGCTAAATTTATATACTTTATATTAACAGGTTGATGGATGTATGCTTAGGTTAGTATTCTTTGGATGGTTATAGATAAAAATATATATTCCTTGCTATTGTTTACGTGGGTATGTAAGGTTAATGTGAGCTTTAAGTTCTACAAGTTTGTATGTTTTAACCAAGCACGTAATCAATAATATGTTTAGATTGTTGTCAAATCAATGATTATGACTTAATATTTCCTTTTATGATTGATTATTGTTTTGAATCAAAGGTTTTCACAATAAACAAGTTCGATGAGGAATGGATTTAATAGGCTCCTGGAAACAGGACGATTAAGTTTGGCTTAGGTCTTGATAATATTTATTTAACTCTTTAAACACAAGTAGGCTTACTCAATAAAAAAATACAAAAAAAAACTTAAAACAATAAAGTTAAAACACTTTATTAAAGTGATAAAGGCCCACGTTCTCTATCCAATCTGATTATTATCCACGAAAAATTACATTAAAAAAACTAGATTTTAATCAATGGCAAAAAGACTAAAATATTGTGGCACTGAATTCATTTCCCGTCAAACATGAGGTATCAGTTTATTGCCACTCAGAGCGCACGGTAAGGGAGGGAAGCTATCGATCTGTAGGGGCGAGGGTCGAGTGGCAGAGGAAACGTCTTTAGTCACCGGCAAATCACGTAATTATAATAAGCGTGGGGATATGATATATAATGACACCTTCCTATAGATTATAGTGAGAGAGTTTACGTATATTTAGTGTTTGCTATGTCATCACTTCTCATTATTGGTGGAGTATTCGATATTATACAGTGAAGTTTTCTGAAAAAAACGTTTAGGAAAATACCACTTCTATGAACTATTCATTGGTGGGTAAAAGTCTCGCTAATTCTTAAGGATGTATCGGCTTTCAGCTGAAAGGGGTTTTCATATAATAACTAAGTGACCATCTAGCTGGCAGTAGGGAAATTTATAAAGAAATTATTTACTACAAATGATTCTAGATTATGGCTGTATGGTGGCATGGTGGCATGGTTTGTATAGAGGACGTGTACGGGGTAGGAGAATATTAGTGTAGACGTAACATATTATGATGTTAGATACTAGTTCACGAGGTTGTAAAGTAAACGTATTTGTGTATGGAACGGAATATGGTGTGCAATGGTGTAATAGTAGTAGTGTGACAGATACGTATTAATTTAGCGAAATTAGAGTACAATGTGTTGTAGCTAGAGCAACAGACAAGTGGTCGGTAGCCAAAGTAGGATAGTACAGCGTGGTATGAGGTAAATTCTATCTGTTAGTGCTGTAAAAGCGTATTCTATAGTGTTTGTAAGGGTATAACTTATTTCTGTAGTAGAGCAGATAAGTTGTAGTGTGGTGGCGAAGCAGTGCAGTTGAAGGTACTAGATCACGCAATTGTGTGTATTTATCATGTATTAGTGTAGTAGTGTAGAAGTGTAGTATTGTAGTGGTGAGACGGTGTGAAGGTGAAGTGTTGGTAGCCTGCCAGCCACTTACCTCACCTTTGTCCTCAACAATAACCCGCATCGTCCCCAATACACCGCATTGTCTCGTATTAGTGTAGTAGTGTATAAGTGTAGTATTGTAGTGGTGAGACGGTGTGAAGGTGAAGTGTTGGTAGCCTGCCAGCCACTTACCTCACCTTTGTCCTCAACAATAACCCGCATCGTCCCCAATACACCGCATTGTCTCGCCGGATATACTTATAGTCTGAGTGCACTTTGGCAAACTGTCTGGTGTCACATTTCAAACGTTCGTGATTTATAGCTTTTGCTATAGGTAGCTAAACACTGCCCTAATGTTTTACATGATTCAATTAAATATAGCAATGCAAAAATGCTACATTTGTATGTAAATGGATGACATCTACAAATAATACATATCTTAATATATAAAAAAAAAATAAATAATTACTCGATTCTTTTTTCTTTTGAAATTCTATTCACAATAACAAAATTAGAATTTTGCAAACCTTAGTTTAAGCATCCCTAATTTTTTTGTGATCATACGGTAAAACATAATTTGTGTTATTTACCATTGAATGAATATATATTATGCTTATATGTCACAAAAATGTCATAGAGGTAAAAAATATTTATCCGGTGAAATGTGTTTTTACATTGAACTGGCAAACTTACTCTGCTAAAAATTTAGATAACTTAAAAAATGGATATTCAAATAATAAAATTCAGCAATATAAAATACTTTTGTATTTGATGGGAAAATCCACTTACCTCAGCTGGGAAGGTGTATCCGTTGATTGAATGCTCGGACCCAGTCTCATCCTGTAACCCGTAGTGTATGTGGATCTGATGGAACTGGTATTTGTAGCTGAGAGGACCTCCAGTCACGTTGATATGATGTCTTGTAGTATTCTCTACAGTAAAAACGATGCTGTGTCCAGTGTTGGTGATCACACCGTTTACCTATGCATAGAATAATATATCTAAAATATAATAGAGTATTAATAATGGAGTTGAGATACATTGACTGGCATTTTTACTTAATGGCACTATACTTAAACGTAAAAGAGGAGAAAGTCTACTTGTCATGAAGAAGCTACTTTTCACTAGATAAAACTGTGAAGACCACTGAGAAATCTAGCTCAAAGTTGTTATTAAATTGTTCTAATTTCCTAGGTTATAGAAAATCCCCCAAACACTTGAGAATTATTGTATAAAATATACATCCAAACCTCAGGATAACAATTCGAGATGTAATGCGTAAAACAAAGGAATACGCACTTATGTATAATACCGCAAAGATTGGTTGGTTAAACTTTCAGTTCTCTAGGATCAGCACACTAGGATCTAGGAGTTGATCACGAAGTCTTAATTTAATATTTCTAGTTTAGCCCCTAAAACACAACAATTTAAATATACTAGTTGTCCCATTATCAATAGTCTAAATTTATAAGCATTCATCTGTTCAAATGCAAACAAATCTTTTATTCATGTTAATAACATTGAAACTTAGAAGGCCACTGGGGCAGAGCCCTGATGGAGCACACATATAGCTTAGGATAGCATTGAATTAGTATTAGTCCTCCATCAAATTCCAGTTTTATGGCTTATAGTTTTTGAGATATAGGGGTTGGTGAGTCAGTAGTGTTCGCCTTTTCTATAGATTACTTAGTATGTGTATACAGGGTGTTCATTTGAAAACTTTCCATATCTGTTGTGTGCAAAGGTAAGGCTTTTTACCCTTGTTTGTTCTCATTTTCCCCTAATTTGGACATGCCAAATCCAATAAAATTATTTTCAATTTCGAAAAATGCCCCAAAAGGGCCCAATTTGGGGGGTAGGGGTGCTTTTTGAGAAATTTTCTAATGTAAACATGGGTTGTGTGATACATCAATTTAAAGGTCTAATCACCCCAACTATTTTGGTGCAATAAAAATTTAATTATCTTTAACCGTATTTACAGGGTGGGTCAAAATGTTTTAAAAAAGGACTTTGAAGTTAAGTACCGTATTACCCGAACTACTGAACGGAATAGCGCCAAATTTCTTTCCAAGCTTATTCTTGATTTACTCTTTAAGATAACTTGTAATAAGAGCATTTTCAGTGTTATTTTCTATTTTTTTTAAATATCAAAGTTGAAGAATAAAAGAAAGCTGAAAACTCAAAATTCTTAAATAGCAAGGTATAGCAAATTTCATACCACGTGAAAGGTCCTTTTTTAACAAACATTTTACGTATTTAAGTTTTCTTTCTATCTCTTACCGTTTAAAAATTGCAGTAGAAAAACTGAATTTTCCATAGTAATATTGTAACTAGTTTTCTAATAAAACAGCCAAAATTCGTCTCTAGACACATTTAATGGTGCATTAACTGAAGGAAACAATTCATAATTATTGATACCCTGATTGACAAACAAGTCATCACGTTTTACTTTGTGAAAAACAAGTCTTATAGCTGATGAGGACAACCTACATGTGGGCCGCTTTCCGTAGTACCATTGACTAGTCAATGGTAGTACTAATTTCAAAAAGTACTATTTTCTGTAGTATCTAATCGAATATGGTGTACACTTAAAAAAAAATTGACTTTATTTTTACTTATTGGACAGAACAAAAGTGTTTCAGGATAACTGCAAAGTGTTTAACAATAAATATCCAGGTAAGACCTTAAGTCATAAAGCTGTAAATGATTTAGTTAAGAAATTTCTGAAACTGGCTCAGTTACCAATGAGAAAAGAACAGGATGAAGAGTTCAAGATGAACTGACACAAGTAAAAGTAGTTGATCAATTTGTAATTAATCATAATACATCGTTGAGCAAAGTGCAATGTGTTTTGTTAGAAAACTAGTTAAAATTTTACCATAGAAAATTCAGTTTTTCTACTGCAATTTTTTAACGGTAAGAGATAGAAAGAAAACTTAAATACGTAAAATGTTTGTTAAAAAAGGACCTTTCACGTGGTATGAAATTTGCTATACCTTGCTATTTAAGAATTTTGAGTTTTCAGCTTTCTTTTATTCTTCAAATTTGAGATTTTAAAAAAATTAGAAAATAACACGGAAAATGCCCTTATTACAAGTTATCTTAAAGAGTAGATCAAGAATAAGCTTGGAAAGAAATTTGGCGCTGTTCCGTTCAGTAGTTCGGGTAATACGGTACTTAACTTCAAAGTCCTTTTTTAAAACATTTTGACCCACCCTGTAAATACGGTTAAAGATAATTAAATTTTTATTGCACCAAAACAGTCGGGGTGATTAGACCTTTAAATTGATGTATCACACAACCCATGTTTACATTTGAAAATTTCTCAAAAAGCACCCCTACCCCCCAAATTGGGCCCTTTTGGGGCATTTTTCGAAATTGAAAATAATTTTATTGGATTTGGCATGTCCAAATTAGGGGGAAATGAGAACAAACAAGTGTTAAAAGCCTTACCTTTGCACACAACAGATATGGAAAGTTTTCAAATGAACACCCTGTATAATAAAAAAAGAAATAATATGTATGATGCAAGAGTGATTCCGTTTCTTCAGCTCGCACTTTATTGATTATTCCAACTTATTATCGTTGACAACCATTTCACGTACGAGAAATGTGGGTTTTTACAAAAAGACCATTGTAATGGGCAAAAGTTAACTAGAGTATACGGAGATGGTTACTTTCAAAATTGTTATTAAGTGGATGGTAAATATTTAGCATTTTATTTTACAAAACGGAATTATGCACTGTTTTATCTGCATGTAAGGTTTGCTTAGTACTATGTTAACGAATAGTTAATTATGATATATTTCTTTTTAAATCCTGTAATACTACTAAAACATTCGAAACAGATTGATATCAACCATGTTTCGGAACCTATTTGGAACAATTAACTTTCAGATTGATTTCAGTAGGGGAAAATTTAAAATGTGCAAAACACTTTATAATCTATATCTGATAATTTATTTTATTAAGCTCGTTTGTTAAATTTCATACCCTGTGTTTATCGAGGTGCAGCAGACGAAGGTTGGGGTCGAATAACAGTTTGTTGGGTTCCAGATTAACAGGAGATTGTCGACGTCCTTTGTTGCACAAGCTCCATTCTGGGTTGATCAGTCCCCAGAATGCTGGACCTGGGAAAAGGAATAAGGTTACACAGATGTAAATAAATAAATAAATAAATAAAAATGTCTTTATTTAGCAAGCGTTCCTCAGTACATACTGCTTTACAGGATAACTCTTGTCAATTTAATTACTAATACTAAATAAAACTAATAACAAAAAGTACATAATCTATTTACAAAATTTGAGGTCCTTTCTATACATTTCTTTTAGCTTGTTTCTAAAAGCTGGAACACCCAGCAACTTAAGATCACAGGGGAGGTCGTTATACAACTTGGGCCCAAAGTATGAAAAGCCTCTCCTGCCAATCTCCAGCCTCACTCTCGGGAAATGAAACAGCTTTTCCTGTCGAGTATTGCACCGAGACACATTTTTTGCAAGATCGCGGGAGACCAGTCTTTCCATCAGGTAAGCTGGTTCTTTTTTGACCAGTACCCGATGAACCAGAGTGCAGGTTTGCATCCTGCATACAGCTGCTGAGGGCAAAAGACCGGCAGTTTTTTTTCAAATTCAGATATATGATCGCGTTTCCGCAGACCAAATCTTAATGTAGTAGCAAACAAACTTATACCCTAAAGACACATAGGCCTATTATAGGGCAGAGTTTAACATTTAAATTACCTATTGTAAATATAATTCGTACATGAAAACATAAAAACTTTAATGAAGTTTCGTAGTCAGGGGATGCAAATTGGATTATAGAACTATCAAATACTTTGAGCTATGAAAATTTTTGAATTTTATGCTAAAAATACTTAGTTAGGTACAAATGAATGTTTTGTAATGCCTTAAAATTATAACATGAATACAGTTATGATTGTAGAACCTTATAAAATGAATGGTAGGTAGGAAAATGCGTTTACGCACTCAAGTAGCCTGTAGTGTGAGACGAGTACGGATTTAAGACAAACAGATTGCCGACAAAAATCTTCCAATCTTGAATACTTTTCGCATTTATCAAAAACCAGGCCGAGTTTGCCTATACTCACAGGGTTCACTCTGTTTCAACCAATATCATAGGACTAAGGAGAGTTATTTAGAAAACTTCGTTGCATTTTTAAAATCTTGACTTTATATTTCAATAGCTTTAACAAAATCGTATTGATGGCTGTTTTCAAACAATATTCGAAAAATTGCCTTAAACCTTATGAAGTAAAATACAAATACTTTACAATTGGGTTTGAAAACAGATTTTCAATCTAGACATTCAATTTAACTAACATAATTTAACTAAGAAAATTCAAAAGTAGTAAACAGGCATATATATGAGTAGCTCACAATATAATAAATCTCTGGTGTCCCTTGGCATTTACAAGATCGTTACAGCAAAAAACTGAACAGTATAATGTATTTACATACATTGAAATTAAATATTAAAATATCTGGAATTATTCACATTAATTTCAATACAAGAGGATTTCAAAGCAGAGCGGAAACCTGAGTGGGCAAGAGTGAGTCAACCCACCTAGGAGCAATGTTGTGGTGTGTAAGGTGTTGTGTGGGCAGTAGAATGTAAACAACAACCTTGATGGCTGTGGGAGGGTTGAAAACTGCTTCCCTAAGTTCTTGTTTACTCTGCCTAGGGTGACTTTTTTGAACAGATTTTATATTTTTAGGATTTCTTAACATTGTAATCTGAATATAGTCAAACAGTTTGCTAGTAAGAATGTCCATTGCTTAAAACCATTGGTTACAATGTATCATAATAATTGATTTCATAATCCTCATTGCCACACTGAAAATAATTTTACATAGTGATTTAGCATTGTAAACTCCTTAGTTATAAATAAGAATTGCCATATTTTCTTTTATCATGTAATACAAATAAGCACAAGAGTTTTTTTTGAGCCGATCTGCTTATACTAAAACTTCATTAAAATCTCAAAATGACTGTTGTTTAAACCTAATGAAAATAAGTAGAAAAAAAAGTGCTAGAATAAAGTATTTTGCCGAAATCTTCATTCATGTTTAAATGAAGATTGTTTAAATTTCCTAACTTTACGCATTTATACGAGTTGACCAACTCGCAAAAAAATTCGAAAGATGAGATGTTTAATAATTTGGAGTTTCTACTGATCCAAAATTGAACTTACGAAGCCTACCTACTACCTTGTTTACGTTAAAATATGTACGAAACTACAAACCTGCATTCAAAATAAAATAAAATGCAAATAAGCAGAAGCGCATTATTAAAAAAAGATTCATAACAATAATGATCTTTGAATACTCTGTACACGTTTATTTGACGTATCATTTTTCTGTTACTTTTAAAAGGTTTAAATTAGAATATCAATTTTTTTACTCTTTGCTTCCACGATTAGAGACAAAAATTGTTTGATAGGCTGGTATTTACCAGAAGATACTCTTTTACAGGGGTATTGGTAAAAAATAAATAAATGCTGATAAAATTTAAAACTATTAAATAACTCCAAAAAAGTATCACAAATAAATGGTTGGAATCAATGGAACAGAAAGTTTTATGTGTTTTAAAAAAAACAGCCCATTTGTAAAAAATAGTTTTTTATTTATCATTGATTTTTTTTATGCAGGCAAAAAAATTATATTCTATAATATTGAATTAATATGTTGAATGAATATTTTAGGAATATATTTCCTATGAGCATAAATACCAAATTAAAATAAGTAACATATACATTTAGTGTTGAAAATACTTTATTTTTAATCTTAATGTCAGTTATAGTCATAATAAGTTTTGTAAATATTTAGATTCAGATTGTTTACAAATGTGTTTGTTTATTTGTCTATTTTGTTATCCTTTTGCATAATGTCCTAATTAGTTTCACAGCAAAGAAAGGACCGAACACCACTGGTGGTTCTGCCTCGCGATCATATGTTGAGTTGGCATATATGAATACTGTACTGAGCTGCTGCGAGGTCACTTGGTGAATGAATATTTGGCTTGTAGCTGTTAACTGATTTAGGATTTTATCTTAACAAATGTGTTGCTTAACAGTAGTTTGAGTTAAAGATGATTAATACAATTTTAGAAATTATTATTGCCTTGTAAAACAATGCAATATTGTTATCTTTAATAATATTATAAAAACAGTCGAAATGAGATGAATAACTTTTGTAATTGTTTTACGTGAATCACAAGTGATAGCACGGAATGGAATGGGAACTGTTCGTTTATTTAAGCCATGAGCCGTATTGTATTTAAATCCAGCTATCCGTCTTATGACTTCTTCTGATGGCATGATTCTGTCCAGGGCTTTTGGTTTGTATAGGTTGGTTATATATATTAAGTGCTATATAAACTAGGTTGCTAACAAAATAATTGAAAAAACGTATTTTTTTTGAAAAAAAAAAGATTCTGAGAAAAATATATGGACCGATTCAAGAAGAAGAAGTTTGGAGAATTAATGTATCACCATCCATATGTTGTAGCGCGGAAAAAACAGGACATTGAGATGGGCTTGACATATTGTGTGGAGGAGAGAGTAATTTTTTTTCATTGTTTGTCTGGTTAATAACCTTGCTAAGCATATATATAAAATACAAGGAGCTAAGGTGTAGTTTATTTTTTAAATTATCATCCTACCTCATTGCCATACATATACAGGGTGGCTGAAAAGTCCCTACATATTTGAAATTAATTCTGGTATTGTAAAATAATAATTTTTGTCTAGTAAACGGTTTTTTTATCCATATCAAAAGTAAGATATTGTGACTACATTACAAACATGATCGCAAGAGTGCGTTCAATGAAATGATACGTAACTAGTATGGTCTATCATACGAAATAAACTTATAAACACGTAAAAAAACTTAACTGAAGCGAAGTTGAAAGGTTGAAGGTCAGAGGAAAGCGCAATGGTTAAGTCTGGGGTTATTGCAGGGTGTAAATGGGCCACAAACAGTGTTCACTGTACCACAGTGTCTCAGCATAACACCTGAGTTGTGCCGGTACAACGGGCTCATTCTTGCTGCGTCTTAGCTTTTCTGTAAAGACTTTTTGGGTAGCGTTGGTTGGATTAAAATAGTTGGAAATATATTTTCACCACACTATTATGTTTATTTTAGCTGTTTTACGTTATACGTTAATTGGTGGCTGAAAGTTACGTTTTGCTGGTCATGCGAGCTGTCATCATCATTTGGGGACCGAGTGGGTTTTTACATCCCTAGGACCACAAAACCAGCTGTCCACTTACTTTCTTAAACCATGAATGCATATTAAATACACAATCAGTATCCATAGCATTGCAATAGAATTGTTTTATTGTCACCTCTGCCTAGCAACTAATTATCATTATTTTTTCTGATTCCTCAAATTATTTCTTCACATAATCATAAAGTTGGAGTTGCGTTGACTATCAGTGTGCATTATTATTGTGGTAAATAGTGGTAATATGGTATAGTGTGGTGAAAAATAGCTTTCGTACCACGGACCGAATTGGTTTTGCAGCTCTCGATCATTTTAAGTTCTTGACTTCGTCTTTAACTTTAAAAATATCTCTAGCCGGCATCATTTTCGGCCCTAGGTACGAAATATATTGATTTTGCGACATTTATTTCTTTTTTCCTGACATATGTTCAATTCAAGTGTGTAAGGTACCTTTATGTGTTCTGTACAGTAATTTAACCTTTGTCTTTTACTGTGTATTTTCTGTATTGATAAATTATAACAAAGTATAATTATAATATAATAACATTGCCTTTTTTAAACATTAAAACCTTTCATCAAAAAGATTATACGTGTTGTTTTGTTTCTATACAGCTTTGTTTTGGAAACGTGTTTTTTTTTCATAACCAACTTTAAATTTGCAATTAATAAAAATAACATAATAGTTGATTAATGAGATCATTTTAAACTTCCAAATCTCAAATGTAATGAAAGCTATTTTAAAAACATGAGAAACTCAAACAATAAATAAGAAGAAAATCATGTATCCAAAGTATACAAAACTATTCGTCTAACATGTAATCAACTATTAAACACAAAACATTATCAACGCAACATTTAATCAAACTTCTTAATACAGTACTTTAT